TCGGAAGTTAGAATGATATTGTATTTTACTTTTGGCGCTAAATATAAACCAAATATGATTCCACCATCACCGTAATCATTCTTCCCTTTGCTATATTCGTTNTCAGACACCAACCCAGCTTCATTTAATTTATCCCAATTGCTAGACGAAATGTATAAACTATCAGTATCTCTATAGTATATTTCAGGCTTATAAAATCCATCTATTACGTGAATGAAATTGTTCATTATTTTTTTACTGTGAGATAATATATATAAATGCACCTAAATGAGCGGGTGTTAATCTAGTAAAATCCTTTGGAGGAACAAACTCTTTTTCTTCTTCATTCATCTCAACTATATATTGACTATCATTTACTTTTTCATAGCTTTTGACGTGTGAATCGAAGTTGGCTTTAAAAGTCGATTCACTCCATAGATGTCTCGATGTATTTATATCCTTCTGAATAGATTTACCGTATAAGGAATTACCTAATAATTTCATGCAATTACTAGCAACCATATCACCTTCTTTTTTGTATTTATTCCTTAATTCCTTCAAAATTAAAATATAATCTCTGTATGGTGGAGTTTTAAAATTTTCTTCGTATACTATACCATCTAATATTCTAATAATTTTACCACCGGATTTCACTATTTCTTGAATATCAACCGATGTTAAAACGTCGTGACAGAAACCATTTCTGAACCTGATTTTAGTGCCAGTTTCCTTCTTACCTATTCTATTCGTAAAAGTTATTTTATCTTTAGCTGGTATGGGTTGAAAGAACATGTTTTTGGGATATTCAAACCAGACTTTTAAAATAGCAGTTCTAGGTCTGAATTTTTGTTTATTGAAGAGTTTTACAAATTCTTTTTCTTCTTCTGGTAGAAACGCTCTTGCACTTTCCGCTTTAGGATATTCACCTTCTGTCATGGCGGAAGCGTACAACCCATTAGCGTCAAATGCCATCAGTTTAGAATAGTCCAGTTCTTTGAGTTTAGCGCGAACTTCCGTTTTATCTTCTGGGTTAACACTGTATTCTTTGAATAAATCTATTATTCCTTCAGTGTTACTTTCATTGTATTCTTTTAATATGGCGCAGATTTTATCCGTTTCAAATGATTTTCGATTTGCCGAAACTCTTCCTCCTTTAATACTTTGTCTGATAAAATATCTTATAAAAGGATGAGTATGCGAGTAAACTTTTTCTACGTTTTGTTTTTCCGTATGTTTCGGAACTATTTTAGTAGTTTC